GTTGTAGTTGATGTGGTTGTTGTTGTCGTTGGTGTTGTTGTTGTTGTTGTTGTTGTTGTTGTTGTTGTGATCGTCGTTGTTGTTGTTGTTGTTGCTGTTGAATATTATTACTTCTAAAGAATAATTATTGTTGAGCCCCCTGGTGCACGCCCCCCTCGCCGCGCCTAGGCCGCAGCCACATTTTCATCATTTTCGTGAGGAAGTCTCAGGCAAAACGGGGGAGTCCGGATCCGGTTGTTTTGTTGACGCCCGCTTTCCCTATCAAAAAACAATATAAAATGACATGTCTTGTTCTAACATAACCAAACTTCAAGAATCCTTTGCAAAAAATGACACGAAGTGCACACTCGCGCGCGCAAGATGAAATCCTTCCAAAACCTCAGTTTTCGTAGCGATTTTAACATAAAAACATGAAAAACCCAATGGTTTTTCAAAAAAAAGTTTCAAAAATTCATCCCGCGCGCTCTTGCGGATTTCTTAGGAAACCCAATACTTTTTCAACATTTCTGTCAAACGGGCTCTTGCGAGCAACTTTTTTTTCGAACTTCTGCAACAACGGTTGCGCACCTGCCAGGGCCATCATCCCTGTCAAATAATACCATGCGGGACACATTCGTTTTTTCTTCGCGCGCGCACGCCGTCGTCGTCGGCCGCGGGGCCCTGAATAGTAGCCACGGTCGTCCGCATGCCACGAAGTGAAGTGTCCGAACGTCATAGGGCGGGAAGCTGGGTGTGGGTGGTGGCGAAGAGTCGTTTGGAAATTTGGTAGAGCTTGAACCGGCCCCCCCACAAAGTGGGGGTATTGCCCGCCTCCTATGAAAACCCTGGCACTGGTGAGAACGGAGTGTCCCCACGTGCTAGTAATTGTTGTTGTTGTTGTTGTTGTTGTTGTTGTTGTTGTTGTTGTGGTTGTTGTTGAACATTATTATTTCTAAAGAATAATTATTGTTGGGGCCCCTGGTGCACGACCCCCCCGCCGCGCCTAGGCCGCAGCCTCATTTTCATCATTTTCGTGAGGAAGTCTCAGGCAAAACGGGGGAGTCCGGATCCGGTTGTGTTGTTACGATCGGTTTTCCCTTGCAAAAAATAAGCTAAAGTGGACATTTCTTGTTCTAACATAACCAAACTTCAAGAATCCCTTGCAAAAAATAAGGTAAAGTGGACATTCGCGCGCGCAAGACGAAATCCTTCCAAAACCTTAGTTTTCGTAGCGATTTTAACATAAAAACATCAAAAAACCAATGGTTTTTCAAAACAAAATTGTCAAAATTTCATCCCGCGCGCTCTTGCGGATTCGTAGGAAACCCAACACTTTTTAAACATTTCTGTCAAACGGGCTTTTGCGAGCAACTTTTTCGAACTTCTGCAACAACGGTTGCGCACCTGCCAGGGCCATCATCCCTGTCAAATAATACCATGCGGGACACATTCGTTTTTTCTTCGCGCGCGCACGCCGTCGTCGTCGGCCGCGGGGCCCTGAATAGTAGCCACGGTCGTCCGCATGCCACGAAGTGAAGTGTCCGAACGTCATAGGGCGGGAAGCTGGGTGTGGGTGGTGGCGAAGAGTCGTTTGGAAATTTGGTAGAGCTTGAACCGGCCCCCCCACAAAGTGGGGGTATTGCCCGCCTCCTATGAAAACCCTGGCACTGGTGAGAACGGAGTGTCCCCACGTGCTAGTAATTGTTGTTGTTGAACATTATTTATTCTAAAGAATAATTATTGTTGGGCCCCCTGGTGCGCGCCCCCCCTGCGCCGCCTAGGCCGCAGCTACATTTTCATCATTTTCGTGAGGAAGCCTCAGAAAAGAGGGTGTGTACAGGATCCGGTTGTTTTGTTGTAATCCGCTTTCCCTTGCAAAAAACAATAGAAAATGACATTTCTTGTTCTAATATAATCAAATTTCAAGAATCCCTTGCAAAAAAACAAGGTAAAGTGGACATTCGCGCGCGCAAGACGAAATCCTTCCAAAACCTTAGTGTTCGCAGCGATTTTAACATAAAAACATCAAAAAACCAATGGTTTTTCAACAAAAAAATGTCAAAATCTCATCCCGCGCGCTCTTGCGGATTCGTAGGAAACCCAACACTTTTTAAACATTTCTGTCAAACGGGCTTTTGCGAGCAACTTTTTCGAACTTCTGCGACAACGGTTGCGCACCTGCCAGGGTCATCATCCCTGTCAAATAATACCATGCGGGACACATTCGTTTTTTCTTCGCTCGCGCACGCCGAAATCTGTACCATATGCATCATATGCAACAGATGTTCTGTGGAAGGCTTAACAACTTCTGTGGGTTAACAAGGCTTAACAACTTCTGTGGGTGTACGAACGTAGGCTTAACAACTTCTGTGGGTGTGTACTCCACGCCAGTGTAGTAGCCACGGTCGTCCGCAGGCCACGAAGTGAAGTGTCCGAACGTCATAGGGCGGGAAGCTGGGTGTGGGTGGTGGCGAAGAGTCGTGTGGATATTTGGTAGAGCTTGCACTGCCCCCCCACAAAGTGGGGGTATTGGCTGGCGTCGCATGAAAACCCTGGCACTGGTGAGAACACTGAGCGTTCGGGTAAAGTGATTGTTGTTGTTGTTGTTGTTGTCGTCGTCGTTCTTGTTGTTGGTGTTGTTGTTGCTGCTGCTGCTGTTGTTGTTGGATTCTCATTTCTGAAGAATAGTTCTTGTTGATCCCCCCTCACCGGTGCATGTTTTTTTCTCAATCAAAGTGTGCCCCTCGACGCTCGCACCCTGTTTTTTGACAGGGAAAGTCTTTCTGCTCAAACTGGGCCCCTGGCCCCCGGGTTACAACGACAATGGCTCCCGCCTGAGACTTCCTTACAATTTAGCCAGGACCCCCGCTCCCGCCCGAGACGTCCTCGCATTTTGTTCAGGAATCGCGCTCTCGCTTGGGACTTCCTTACAATTGATTAAGGAATCGTTCTCCCGGCGCTCTGGAGTCGCGCTCTCGCTGGAAATTTGCCTGCAACTTACTGAAGAATGGCCTTGCGTTGGAATTTCCTGCAATTTGCCCAAGCGCCGCGCTCCCGACACCCAGGCACCCAGGAGTCGCGCCCGTTGTGGCCCCATGTGCATGCCCTTCGTGGCCCCGCTGTCGCCATTTGTGTCCCCCTCACTGTCCTACGTGGCCCAGTTGCTACCCTCAGTGGCCCCATAGTTGCCTTCTGTGGCCACGCATTATCTGCACTTCGTGGCCCCTGCTCGTTTGCGCTCTTCGTGGCCCCATACGCATCCCCTTCGTGTCCCCGCTGTCGCCCTTCGTGGCCTACTTCGTGCCCTTCGTGGCCCTGCTGTCGTTCTCTCTCGCTCTCGCTTTCGCTCGTCGCCGCCGTCGTCGTCGTCGTCGTCGTCGTCTTCGTCGTCGTCGTCGTCGCCGTCGTCTTCGACGTCGTCGTCGTCGTCGTCCTCGTCGTCTTCGTCGTCGTGGTCGGTCCCCTGTCCGTCCCTCTTGGGGTCGGGTCGACGGTCTGCGGCCGCCCCGCCGATCAGCGCTGCCACTGGCCAGGCTGACGGTCCGCGGCCGCCCCGCCGCTTGCCGGGGCCCGGCCTGCAGAGAAGAAAGGTGTACCCCCCAAAAGGGGTTCGATCGAAGACGAAGAGGGCGGGTATCGAGGGTTTGGGAAATACGCGTTATTGGACACTCGAGCATATAAGGGCGAACGGTCTTAAAATTATTATTATTATTGTTGTTGTTGTTGTTGTTGTTGTTGTTGTTGTGGTCGTTCTTCTTCTGGCTTTTGTGCTGTGACGACGCGGGGGCCAGAGGGGGGGATGCGACACCCCGGCGCCCCGAGGGCTTCCGTGATGAAGATGCAGGCCGGTGGCCGAGGCCGACCGCCGCCGCAGCCAGACTTTCTCCTCCCCGGCCGCCGCCGACGACGGTGCGCGACGACGATGGCGCGCGACGACGGCGGCGCACGACGACGGCGCATGACGACGGAACACCGCGCACGACGCTGGCCGAGGCCAGCCGCCAGCGCGGCCGCCGACGACGACGCATGCTTCGAGTAGGGTATCGACTACGGAATTGACTTGCCCCAAACTTGATTTCTTCGCCGGTTCTATGCAACATGTCAATAATGCTCCGTAGATCTACGGAGCTCGATTGTGTGTAGATTCAACGGGCGAGAAGTCTTGAGTCAACCAATTCTGCCGTCGATTCCTTACAGTCAACCCGCCTGGTAAGGATGGGCGCCCTTCCCAAGGGTACTCTTGCATCCTTGCCCCTCCGGCCCATCCTTGGCGACCATCGCTGCCCAACCTCGTTCGAAAACGCTAACGTAGCCCTCCAAGGCCCTTGCATCCTTGCCGCGTATCCTTGTGAGCCGGGTCGATTGTGCTCGAACGCTGGGCGACGGGCGACGGGCGACGACGGGCGTCAGGCGACGACGGGCGGCGCACGACGGGCGGCTGTGCTCTGAGACGGCATCGGGGCTCGGAGGCGGCGGCGGCGGCGGGCGGCGGAGGCGACGGGCGACGGCGACGGGCGCCGACGTCGGGGGGGGCAGGAGGGGGTGGAGAAGGAGGTGGAGGAGGCGGAGGAGGAAGAGGAGGAAAAGGAGGAGGAGGAGGAGGAGGAGGAGGAGGAGGAGGAGGAGGAGGAGGAGGAGAGGAGGAGGGGGAGGGGGAGGGGGAGGGGGAGGAGGAGGAGGAGGAGGAGGAGGAGGAGGAGGAGGAAGGATCGTTGCCCCGAGAGCGCGAACTCAGCGTAATTCGCGAGGGGTCGTGGCCCTGGGAAGGCGAACTCAGCATACTTTACAAGACTCCTGCGGAATTCGCTCGGATCGCTGCCCTGAGAGCGCGAATCCCGTGGTTTTGAGCGAGCAGATCCAGCGTAATTCACGAGGGATCGCTATCTTGGGCGGGCGAACCCAGCGTAATTTACGAGAATGCGCGGCTTCGGATCCAGCGCTTGAATTTGAGGAAATGAAGGGGGGCCGAGCCAAACCAGAAAAGTATTGGTTTCTGCTCTGGGGAGGGGGGGGACCCTTTTGGGCAACCTCCGCGCGGTGCTTCGTGTCCCTTGGAGCGCAGACGCAGCGTAATTTGCGAGGGATCGTGGCCCTTGGGGTATTGTGGCCCCGGGGGCGCGGAGGCAGTGTAATTCACAAGGGATCGTGGCCCAAGGAGCGCGGACGCAGCGTAATTTTCCATGGATCCTGGCAGTGGAAGCGTGAATCCTTCATGATTTACACCTGGTCGTTGCCAAGTGACCGCGGACACAGTGTGTTTTACACAGGATCGTTGCCCTGGTAGCGCGAGCCCTCGGCAAGTTGCGAGAACCGCTTCCCTTGAGGCGCTGGAACTATGTACTCTACGCAGCCCCCCGCAGCTGCGGATAAGAGCGAGGGGGCCGACGGGGGCGTCGACAGTCTGCGAGGCTCTGAAGAAGACCGCCGCAGGCGCTCAAACTTTTACAAAGTATACAACGAGCTCGCCGCAGGCGCAGACTTTCTGGTTAACGCAACGTGGGTGGGTCGCGGGCCCGGTCGCGGGTGGGTCGCGGGTGGGTCGCGGGCTGGGTCGTGGACGGGTCGCGGGGTGGGTCGCGGGTGGGTCGTGGGTGGGCCGCGGGGTGGGTCGTGGGCGGGTCGCGGGTGGGTCGCGGGCGGGTCGCAGGTGGGTCGCGGGCGGGTCGCGGGGTGGGTCGTCGGTGGATCGCGGGTGGGTCGCGGGCCGGTTCGCGGGGGGGACGACGACACTAAAAAACAAACAACGAACAGCGAACAACAAACAACAAACAACACATAACAACAAACAACACCATCATTACCAACCACAGCAACACCACCACCGCCAACAACAACATCAGCACCAGTAACGCCAACACCAACAACCGCAGCAGCGCCAACACCAGCAACAACACCACCAGCATCAATATTAACAACACCACCACCAAAAACAAAAGTAACCGACAACAGCAACAAAACCATGAACAACAGCAGCATCACCACCAACAGCAACACTAACAACAGCAGCAGCAGCAATAGCAGCACCAACAACATCAACAATCCGCACCGCAGAACCTCACTTCAGCCGCCCTCGGATCGCGAACCCAGCGTAATTTGCAAGGAGCCGGTGGACCCGGGAGCGTGAATCCTGTATGCTTTACGAAGGATCGTCGCCGCGGTAGCGCGAACCGAGCGTGATTTTTAAGGGATTTGGGCCCTGGGAGCGCGGACGCAACGCAACTCGCGAGGGATCGCTGCCCTGGTAGTGCGGGCGCAGCGCCATTCACAGGGGGCCGCAGCTCCTCGGAGCGTGAGCCCAGCGTGCTTCACGAGGGGTCGCTGCTCTGGGAGCGCGGATCCAGCTGCACTTGCAGATGGGTCGTTGTCCTGGGGGAAGTGGGCGCGCAATTTGCGAAGGATCGTGGCCCCGAGAGCGCGGACGCGATGAGATTTACGATGGATCTCGGCCTTGGGAGCGCGGGCGCAGCGCGATTTACGAGTGATCGTGGCCCTGGAAGCGCGGCCCCGTGGTAATGAATGCGTTCGTTTCTGGGTACGTCGCGTGTTGCCCTTCTCTGGGTCCGCGGGGTCTGGGGGAGCGAGGGTCTGGTGGAGCAGGGGGAGTGGGGGGTCTGTCCCCTCCCCCCGCTCCTGTCTACCTTCGGCGTGCCTTCAGGATACCTTCGCTGATTTGGACGCGTGTACCTTCATCGTACCTTCGGCGTACCTTCAATCACGTTTCTGATCAACCGCAATACAGAAACTGCGCGCCTTCAGCGTAACTTCGGCCTACCTTCAACGAGTGTGTCCGACGTACCCTCAGAGTACATTCGGCATATCTTCGGCATGCCTGCGTAATTTATCAGGGATCAAGCGTGATTTACAATGCATCTGCACTGGGAGCGCGACTCCAGCGTAATTTACGAAGGGTTCGTGGCATTGGGAGCGCGGACGCTGCGTAATTTACAAGGGTTCGTGGCCTTGGCGAAGCGGACGCAGCACCACTTACTAGTGATAGTGGCATTGGGAGTGTGGGCCCAGCCGAATTTGCGATGGACTGTACCCCAGGGAGCGCGGACGCAGCGTAATTTGCGAGGGATCGCGTGGCCCTTGAGATCTCGACTAAGAACGGGACGCTGGCCCCTAGGAGGTTCCAGATGATCCGCGGCTCGCCCCTTGGCGCGTCTCTTGCGCGTACCGTGCCGGGTCTCGTGGACGTTCCCCGACGCGTCCCTTGGCACGCCCCCTGGACTTGCGGAGTGCCCGTTCGAGACCTGCGTGTCCTGCGCGAGGCAATTGTTTTAGGATGTCCTGCGCAAAAAACTGCCGCTTTGCAACCTCTGTTAGAAAGGAATTTCGTTGTTGGGGTCGTTTTTTTTGTTTTTTTCAACGACGCCAAGATGTCTGGGCCAGGAAGGAAAAAAAGGAGTTAGAAAGGAAATTGATAAGGAATTTCCAGAGTTTGAAGGGAATTTCGTTTTGGGTGTTGTTTTTAAACAAAAAAGAAACGACGCCGGGAGGTCTGGGCCAGGAAGGAAAAAGGAGTTAGAAATGAATTTAATAAGGAATTTCAAGAGTTAGAAAGGAATTTCGTTTTTGGTGGTGGTTTTTTGTTTTGTTTTTTACGACCCCGGTGGCTCTGGGAGCGCGGACGCGCGGTCACGCAGTCGAGCTCCCGGCGCCCAAGAGTTGGGCACGCGCGAAGGCACGTGCGGTCTCGACGCCTCAGGGCGGGACGGGAGCGGACATGCCACGGCTCCTCACGCCCCCCAGGGCGGGACGCGCGTGACGACGCGTGAGTTCCTCACGCGCCAGGGCGGGACGAGCGTGAGCACGCACACACTCGCGGGGGCCAGAACGCCCCAGAGCGGGACGAACGTGAGGGCACGTGGGTGCCGAACGCCCCAGAGCAGGACACGTGTGAGCACAAGCGGGTTCATGACGCCACAGAGCGGGACCAGCGTGAATCCCTGTGGGCTTTCACGCCCCAGTGCGGGACACGCGGGGAAAAACGTGGGGTCCTGACGCCCAAGAGAGGGACACACACGATAGCACGTGGGTTCCTGACGCCCAAGAGAGGGACACGCGCGAGAACACGTGGGTTCCTAACGCTCCAGAGCTGGACAAGCGTGAATACACTTGGGTTCCCAACCCCCCAGAGAGGGACAAACGTGAGCACACGTGGGTTCCTAACGCCTCAGAGCGAGACAAGCGTGAACACACGTGGGTTCCCAATGCATCAGAGCGGGACACATCTGAGAACATGTGGGTTCTTAACGCCCCAGAGCGGGACAAGCGTGCACACACGTTCGGCCTTAACGCCACAAAACGGGACAGATGCGACAACTTTTGGGTTCCTAACGCCCCAGGGCGGGATAAGCGTGAAATGTCGTGGGTTCCTGACGCCCCAGAGCGGGACAGGCGTGAAAACGCGTGGGTTCCTAACGCCCCTGAGCGGGACAAGCGTGAAAACGAGTGGGTTCCTTTCGCCCCAGAGCGGCACGGCGTACACCCCTCCTCCCTCGGCGTGTCCCATGGCTCATCCTCTGTCGCGTTCCTTGGCTTGTCCCCTGGCGCTGTCCCTGCCTGTTCCGTGGCGCGTTCCGTGCCACGTCCCCTGGCGCATCTCCTAGTGCGCCCCTGGCACATTCCTTGGCGCGTCCATGCGCCCTGCGGCCCGTGTCGTCTCGTCGTCTCGCTTCGGAATTGAGTCGGATCTTGAGCTCGAGTTGATTGTTTCTTCTGCGACCTTCGACTTGAGCTAGCTCGGGGCGAGTTGGGCCGTCAGGCAGCTCGAGCCAAATATCAAATCAGCTCGGGCAGATACCGTGGCGCTTCCCCCGTGGTACATCGCGCGGCGCGCTTGAACGTCCATTAGCGCGTCCCCTGGCACGTTCAGTGGCGCGTCCCCTGGCACGCCACAATCCGGTGCGGCACCGCGCAGAGCAGCACAACACAGCTCCTGGCACAGTATCATCACTGATACCTTGCCCGTGCGTCCGGCGTCACTCGGACGCGCGTGCGTATTGCCTCTGCCGCGCTGCGACGTAAAACATGTTGTGTGTGTGTGTGTGTGTGTGTGTGTGTGTGTGTGGGGTTTGGGATGCGTGTGTATATGATTGTTTGTGTGCGTGTATGTCTCCCTCCATCTCTCTCTTTTTCTGCCTGCCTCTCGCGCGTTCCCACCTCTGCTTGTCTCTCCCCCTCTCTCTCTCTCTCCCCCTCCTTCCCCTACCACTGCCTCCCCCCGCTCCCCCCCCCGCTCTCCCCCCTTTCAGCGGTGCGTTCCCGCGGCGAGGCCCCCGGGACCAGTGCAACCAGCTCACGAAGTTCCACTATGAGCAGATGGAGAAGAAGGCACCTCGCCCGACAGCGCCGCACTCGGCCTCCGGCTCCCACCCCCTCCTCCGCCCTCTAAGGGGGCTGTGTCTCTTCAGGCGCAGGCAGGCTTGCTTGCACGGCGCTTCCCCCGCCCTCCTCCGCCACCTTTCGGCGGCGAGCGAGGGGGGGGAGGTGAGAAGGAGAGGACCTCCTCAGAAGGCGGCGGGGCTGCTCAGAAGCCCCTGCGACTTTCGAGGAGGCTCGTGTGTCTTCAAAGGCTGAGAGAGCTGCTCGGAAGGCCCGACGACTTCCGAGCTCTCTGTGTCCTAATATGAACCTCCTTCCATATTATCCCGAAGGCTACAAGGTTTATCCGTTACGCGGATGGATGGCAACGCCGCGCACACTCTCGTCTCGATCATCTTCACCTGTTCCGCGGATGGAAGGCCTTTCGTTTTCACGATGTGGCTCTCGCCGTGACGCCGCGCACGTTCGTCGTAAAAGTTCCCAAGAGTTGCGCGGATGGATGCGGGCGCGTTTTCAAAACGGGGCGTTCTCGTTCGAGACTTCCTCACATGTATGACCACAGTCGTCCAGCCAGTTACCCAGCAGTGTCACGAACGCATGGTGGTTCTTTTTCAAGGCGGGGTTGTCCCTCGGCACTCCCTCAATGATGCATTTCTTGCTGCATTCCTTGTTGCATTCCTTGTAGCTCCTTGTAGCTCCTTGGTGCACTCCTTGTAGCTCCCTGTTGCATCCCTGGTAGCTCTAAGGAGGGAGTCAGCCACGCGCAGAAGGGGGGGGGTAGGGGGAAGGGGAGAGGCTTCTCAGAAGCACCCCTGCTTCTCAGGAGGCACGGGCCTTGTCTTTAGGTGTTGGGCCGGCGCCTCACAATTAGAAGGTCTCTCAGAAGGGGGCTGCTTCTCAGAATCCCAAGAGGCAGCCTCCTCTGAAGAAGCCCCCCCCCCCCCCCTTCTCCCCCTGCCCCCCCCCCCCCCTGGTGCGCGCCGCCGGGGGAGGGCGGCTGCGCTCGCAGCGGGGCTCCCGCCGGGACTTGTGGGCCCAGGGGCCGCTCGCCTCTCGAGGGGGGCTGCGCGCTTCGCGCAGGGGCAGCGGAGGCGCGGGGACTCCTGCTGCGTCGGTCGTGTCCCTCTGCAGGAAGAATGTTCAATAAGAGTAAAAACAAGAGTAACAGCAATTGTCTGGTGACGTTTTTTCTTCAGGAAACAAACGTATTATATATTGTTTTGGCTATCTTTGATAGTGCTTTATTGTGTTCGGTCATGTTTAGACTGCTTCTCATTTTTCTTCCAAAGCCCGCCTGTAGGATGACATTCCCGACCTGAGACTTAATGAGGAGGGCGCGTGGGACAGGAGGGTCGGTTGCAGCACCGCTGCCTCCCCTCCCACCCTCCCTCTCTTCTCTCCCCACCCCTCCTCCTCCCTCCCCCTCCTGGATCTGGACATCTTGCTAGACTTCGTGAATCCCTGTGGCCCAAGGTCTACAGTCAGACCCAGAAGGCCTCCAGAGCACAGAAGGGGCTCCACTTGCGAGCGCGTCTCCTCTTACTCTTGCTCTTACCCCCCCTCCTCCTCGCCCTCCCCCTCCTCGCTCTCCTCGCCCTGCTTTCGTTCCCCTCGCCCTGCTTACCCCCCTCCCCCTTTCTCTTACTTCTACCCCCCTCCCCCTCCTCGCCCTGCTTTCGCCCCGCGAGCAGCGGGTGGTCCTCGCTGATCTGGCGCAGGCCGAGGCCACCCGCGGCCCCGGCAGGCGCCCGAGGCCCCTCCCGCCCGGGGCCTCGGCTCGCCCCTTCCACTCCCTCGCGTCGGTGGGCAGCTCTCTTCGGCCTCCCTTCGAGGCGCCGGCGACCGTCCTGCTCGACCTCCTCCCTCGCCTTCCCCCGACGTCCTCCTCGTCTCCTCGCCTCGCCCTCGCCCTCGTCTCCTCGCCCTCGCCTCCCTCGCCTCCTCGCGTCCTCGTCCTCCCCGTCCTCGCCTCCTTGTCCCGATCGTCCCGCTCGTCCTCCTCCCTCGCCCTCATGCAGTCAACCCGTATAACAGGGATGCGCAGTAAGAATGCAAGGGCTTTGGAGGGCCACGTTCGCGTTTTTCGAGCGAGGCTGGCCAGCGAGAGTCGCGAAGGATGGGCCGAAGGGGCAAGGATACAAGGGTTACCGTCGGCTTACTGTGCGGGTTGACTGTAGATCATATCGGCGGACCCGTCGCTGAGCACCTGGCACGCGTGAGCTTCGTCGGGCAGTCTGTGACGATCGCGCGTGCCGCCGCCCAGGGGCCTGCCCCTCCTCTATCCCCCGTCGAGTTTTCGAAGGCGGCGGTTGCTGGTGCTGTCCCTCGTGTGGGCGGGGTGACCTTCCGACCTCTCCGAGGCGCCGTCGACCGTCCTGCTCGTTCACCTCCCCTCACCCTTCCCCGTCCCGCCCCTTCCTTCCGACCTCTCCGAGGCGCCGTCGCTCGTCCCGATCGTCCTCGTCCCCTCCCCCCCCTGCCTTCCCTTTCCTTCCCTTCCGACCTCTCCGAGGTGCCGTCGGTCGTCCTGCTCGTCCTCCTCGTCCTCCTCGTCCCCCCCCCTTCTCCCGTCCCTTCCGACCCCTCCCAGGCGCCGTTGATCGTGCTGCTCGTCCCGCTCGTCCTCTTCCGCCCCCCCCCTCCCGTCCCTTGCGACCTCTCCGAAGCGCCACCGGTCGTCCTGCTCGCCCTGCTCCTCCACAAGTCAACCTTAGATCTTGCCATTTACCGGCACGGATCTCTTACGGCCCCTCGGCCAACGAATGAACCCTTGCGGTCCCTCGGCCAACGCAGACCGCCCAGGTAGGTTCATGCGGCGTTGGCGCGCCGGCGACGCCGGCGAAGGCCCTCAGGGTTAAACTCTGTGACGCTGCAGCACCAAGGGACGCGGTGGCGCCCCTGGACCCGGCGGGATTCAACCTTGGACGATCGGGGCCGCGATCGGTGCAAGGTTGAACGATCGACGCGGCGTCGAAAACCTTTGCGCGCGCCGACGCCGCGCGAACCACCCGCATCCTCCTGCTCTTCCTCCGCCCCGCCCGCCCCGCCAGGCTCGGGGCGAACGAAAGGGGGGGGGATGGGGAAAGGGGGGGTTACGAAATCTGCTGCATGCAGCTGGCTTCGGCCCCGCCGCCGGGCCCATTCCTGGATACATGGGCGCCTCTTGGTGCCGGGAAAATCAGCTACGTGAGCTGATTCTCACCCCCCCCCTTTGCTATTCCCCCCCCTTCGCCCGGCCCGATCCTGCTCTTCCTCCTCCCCGCCCGCGCCGCCAGGCCAGCGGCTTCGTCCAGGCGGGCAAGAGCGAGGACGCCAGGCGCGCGGCGGCTCCCCTCCTCCTCCGTCGGAGGGCGGAGCTCGGCGGCGCGGACGCCGCGTGCACGGCGTGCAGTCGGCGGCGGGCGAGGGGGGGCAGTGAGAAGGAGGAGGCCCGCTGAAAAGGCGGCGGGTCTCAGAATGCCTCTGGCCTTCTGAGATCTGAGAGGTTCTCTGTGTCTGACGTCGTAAGGGCGAGGGACTGCAGAGCCTTCTGAGCAGGCCCGCCGCTTCTCAATTTCCCCTGGGATGGCCGCCGGAGCTATCCATATCATACCTATACGGCCACCCTTCGGGTGATAGGGAGGTTGGGTCCCCTGCTCGTTTCGTTGCGCGTCACTTGCCGCGCCCCCTAACGCGTCCCCCGGGGCGTCCCTTGACATGACGTGCCCTGGCGCACCTCCTGGCACGTCTCGTCTCGAGGCCCCGGGAACGTCCCGTGGTCAGTCCTGTGGCGCTTTCCTTGGCTTGTCCTCTGGCGCTTTCTCTGCCCGTCTTGTGGTGCGTCCTCTGGCGCGCTGGCGCGTTCCCTGGCGCGTCCTGGGCGTCCCTTCGCGTGACGTTCCCCGGCACGCCCACTGGCACGCCCCTCGGCGCGTCCGTGGCACGTTCCGAGTTCCCTGGCTCGTCCTGTGTCGTGATCCACGGCTCGCCCCCTGGCGCCTCCTCTGCCTGTTCCGTGGCGCGTCCCTTGCCACGTCCCCTGGCGCGTCCCTTGTCACGTCCCCTGGGGCGTCCCTTGGGACATCCCCTGGCATGACGTCCTCTGGCACGCCCCGTGGCACGTGCCTTGGCACGTACCGTGGCAGGTCCCTGCCACATCCACGACACGTCCTCTAGTACATCCCCTGACATGGCGCAGCCCCTAGCGCGCCCCTGGCACATCCCGTGGGGCGACCATGCGCCCTGCGCCCCGTGCCATCTCTGCCCATTTCGGAACTGAGTCGGGTCTTGAGTTCGAGCTGGTTGAGCGTCCCGCAAGTTTCCGACCGCAACCCTCTCTGGGTTCGTATGCGCTCAGGCAGCTCGAGGTTCACATCCATATCAGTTTGGTCAGGATTCGGGTGCCGCTGATGACGCCGACGATGTCGATGACGCTGGCGACGGTGACGACGATGGCGATGACAACGACTATGCTGACGCTGACGCTGATGATGGTGATGGTGACGGTGATGATGATGCTGCTGATGACGATGATGATGATAATGGTGATGACGATAAGGTTGATGATGATGCTGATGATGATGGTGATGATGACGATTGTGATGCTGATGATGATGCTGATGATGATGCCGATGGTGATGCTGCTGATGATGATGCTGGTGGATGGGGTGGTGATGATCGAACATGGTGATGATGATGGTGTTGATGATGCTGCAGCTGCTGCTGATGATGATTATGATGACGATGGTGATGATGGTGGGGGCAACGACGACAACGATGATGATGCTGATGATGATGCTGATTCTGATGCTGATGATTATGCTGATCATGCTGACGATGATGCTGATGATGCTGATGTTGATGATGATGTTGATGATGAAGGTAATGATGATGCAGGTGAAGCTGATGCTGATGATGAAGATACTGGTGATGATGATGAGGATGCTGAGGATGGTGATGATGCTGATGATGCTGATGCTGCTGATGACGGTGATGCTGATGCTGATGCTGATGGTGTTGCTGATGTGGACGATGGCGATGATAATGATTGTGATGATGATGGTGATGTTGATGACGATGATTATGCTGGTGATGATGATGACGATGGTGATGATGATTCTGCTGCTACTGCTTCTGCTGCTGATGATAACGATGACAATGACATGCTGAGGCTGGTGGTTGTGATGATGCTGATGACTGATGACGATGGTGAACATGCTTATACTACTGCTGCTGCTTCTGCTGGTGGTGGTTGTGATAATGATGATGAGGATGATCATGATGATGATGCTGATGGTGATGATGATGGTGATGCTGACGATGATAATTATGCTGATGCTGATGCTGATGCTGATGCTGCTGATGATGATGCTGATGATGATGGTGATGCTGATGACGATGATGATGATGCTGATGCCGGTGATGTTGCTGCTGATGATGGTGATGCTGGTGATGCTGATGATGATGGTGCTGATGATGTTGCTGATGCTGATGATGATGATTCTGATGCTGATGATGCTGATTACGATGCTGCTGCTGATGATGATGTTGATGCTGATGATGATGATGCTTGCGATGGTGTTGATGCTGACGATGCTGCTGATGATGATGCTGATGCTGATGTTGTTGATGATGATGCTGATGATGATGATGATGCTGATGATGGTAATGATGCTTAATTATACTGCTGATGCTGCTGCTGATGATGATGCTGAT